CCCCATCTGGTGAGTGAACACTCCTCCCTGTGAGTGCTCCGATTTGCAGCCAGTTTCCCAGGCCCCTTCCCTCGCCTGCTGAAGGCTCTGCGGGGCTGGGAACGGGTGTGCGGCTGCAGAGGCACCTGACTCCTGAGCTTTCTAAGGACTTTTTTTCCCCAGAAAAAGCAACTTATTGCTACAAAGCYGAGAAAAATACCACCCGTTATTTCAAGATGCCAAGACCTAAGCTGCAGTTTCCCTCCTTAGCGCGAAGTTTTGGTTGACAAGTTCACTTTTTCCCTTAGAAGTCCTTTTATTTCCTCAAAACCCACCGTGATGGCCATGACAGTGAATTTTTGTGACCGAGGAGGGAATAAACAGTTCATAAAAAGGATGATATATGTTCTGGGTGCTGTTGGGAAAGACTGAACAGCTGAAACACTACAAACACCTTTTAATTATGCTTTGGCCTGTAGTTACTCCCTTGTGAACGTTTAGGAATATGCCACCCGAAAGGTGTGCTCACTCTGCTTTGTTCTTCCAAAATAAAGGCATAATGCAGGATCATGACAGTCTAAAGTCTCCCTTCCTGTAAAGGCTTCGGTGCAGCTATTTGTCTGGATAGGAGTTCTCCTTGGCTGTGTGTGCGGAAGCAGATGTTAAACCAGCTGTTAAGAGACGAACACGTAGTTCTTGCAAAGTGCAATGAAAAACTAGCCTGAGGCCTCAATTTGTCTAAAAGAAACTAGCTGCAAGATATTTCTCAAGCAGCATGTACATGAAATTAGCACTCAAATCTGCTCCTTAGCATAAGAAGCAAGGACAAGCAGTGAGGAATTACAGCACTGGGTGAAAGCAACTGGCTGTAGGTCCCTGTTCCGTCACCCATGTCCTCTTTGACCTTACACAAGTTTATTGGTGTTTGTCCAGGCACTGGACAGTGAGACATGCTCTTAGTTTTGGGCTCTGTGTGCTATCAAAAAAAAAAAAAAAAAAAAAAAAAAAAAAAAAAAAAAAAAAAAAAAAAAGAAAAGAAAAAGAAAAGCAACAAGATAAAGAGGCAAGGTTACAGCCACTGGACGTGTGTTGGCACCAGGTGGAGGATAAGGCTTCTCCAGGCAGCTCCAAAGGGCACCATACCTGTGCGCTGTTAAAAATCATTGTGTTAGATAAATGAAGGAATAATTCTTACCTACTTGCTTGTACTGTCTTGACTGGCTGATCAAGACAAAAGCAATATTAGTTGCATATTTTTAGGGTAGGTGATCACTGATTATTCATGTTTAGGTCTAAATTTGAAGACCATAATGGAGCTTACAGACATGATCTCACTGCAAATGACAGATTAACAGCAGGCAGTGTACTGAAGCATCATTTATTCGGAGTCACAGCAAGCCATTAGTCTCCTTAAGAAAGTAAAGTGTTTGCACAAGCTATGAATAAAACACAAATGCATAGAGATCAATTTTTGTTAATAGGGACAGCATGGAAAAATACCTCCATGTTTTGCTATCCAGCTTCCAATTTTTGGGCAGCTAAATACAAATTGGTGTTGATTCCAAGAAGGATTGTACATGACTCTGTCCCTCATTCATGATAGCTTTTTATGACARCTTCAACCTGTCATGAAGAATTCAAACAAACTGTGAAAATCCAGAAGTTCAGTTTGTCAACATGTTACAGACCCCACGGGACATACCATTGCAATAGTGTTGTAGAGACTAGTTACAATTAGATTCAAGGAAGAATAGATAATTCAAAGGCTCATTTTAGCTTAGGACAATGTCTCAACCTCAATAATATCAGTTAGGAATAGAAATTATGGTTACTTCGCCTTGAATGCCAGGAAAAGGATGGTACTAAATGAAGAATGGTGTCTTTGGAATGCACCTCCTCATCAATGAGCTCCCACTGTACTTCTCAATGCAAAGAGAACTAGAAAACTCTAAGTTCTGGAAATGATGTCATCCACAGACATGCACRGAAATCCTGTCATGCAGAAAGTGGCAAGTAGAAAAGAGAAGAAATAAGTTTTAGCTTGTTTTCTGGATTAACTGTTTATAAAGCAATGCATTCAGCTATGTATATCAGCTTGATTGCTGAGGTAATCTTAAAGCTGTTGCATRTTTCAAAACATCGGAGTTCACCTTTGCAAGTCTCAAGAGAGCTTTGAATAGCTTAATGGAAAAAATATAGGCCATTGAAGTTGGACTGTAATATTCTTTATCTTATATTATCTGGCTTTACTAATTATCAGTAGAAGTGGAGTTTGCTTTTGATTTAATGTTTCATTACTCATACTCAGATATGCTTAGAATAATGCTGTACATGGAAAAGGTAACAAACCCAGAAAAGTGAAAAACATTTTTAAAGCTTTTTGTAAGCGTAGGAGAACTCAAAGTCAATCATGCAAGTAGACAAAGAGGAATAGGTTTATATAAACCAGCAAAACAAAGAATGAGAAGATTCTCATTTGTAAATGCACTCAGAGAGAGGGTGGGAGAAAAGAGGGGAGCTATTTATAYTGAAGAATATTTTTTTGGCACAAAACAGAGTACATATAAACTGCCTAGGATTAAATGTGAACTGGAAATTAGAAAATGATATTGATGTGGGAGCAAGGAGATTATGGACCATATGCCTTGGATGTGTGTGGGCAGGTTCTGGTTGCAGCATCATAACTGAGACTGGGACTGGTTGTAGTTTTACAAGTACTGAATGTCTCTTTTGTGTGAAACAACACAACATATCCTGCCCTRCCCATGACAGCTAATGACTGAATGAAATAAGAATTTTGCAGTAATCTGTAAATKAATCTGTTAATGAATAAGCTAACTAGCTAAAGTGAACAAAACCTGGGTCAATCAAAAAACACTTTATTGTTCTGAATAGTCTTAGTAAGGGAATAACAGCTATTTCAGACTTTCTTTCTCCTAGAAAACAACTGAATGCTTATGCTTAGACTAAATTTGCAGATACAAGGTTTTAATTACACTGCCATGGACTGTAGTATGTAATTGCAGCGCTTAYGCAGATTATAGCCTGAATCATCAGTGTAACACTGGCAGTCTCTGTGATTCCTCTGGATGACTGTTTCCTAGTAAGCAAAGAAAATGACATGGACCTGATGACATGGACCTCTCCAGAAGGACTGATGGGTCTGCAGAGATCTTGTGAAATCTCCATTTGAAAAACTCATTCAAAATAAGGATAATAAGGCAGTGGAGCAGGTTGCCCAGAGAGGCTGTGTGATCTGTATCCTTGGAGGTTTTCAAGAACCTGATTTGAGTCAGACTTGACCCTGCTCTGAACAGGGGATTGGGCTGGAGACCCCCTGAGGTCCCTTCCAACCTGAATTATCCCATGATCCTATGATCATTTGGTCAGTAATACTCCTCCTTGAAAATTATTGATAGTACCTCTGCCTTTGCTCATGGACATGGAGATAGCATTCTCAGGAGACTTAAGCCAAAATCCATAGGTAGGTCACAAAGTATGAAGATGCAGGGAAGCAAGTTCCTCATTTTGCACAGTGTTGCTCTCAAGCACTATTCCTAAGATGCCAAACCAGTAACCTAGATGTTCTTCATGTCAGAAGGCTTGTCCCTCAGCAAAGACAAGGACGTATGAAATGATCTTTCTGAGAAATGCTTTAAGAATTGCTCACTTTCAAAATGGCACCTATTTCCTTCRGTTGTTTCATGGACTGCAGTCACAACTGCTGTCTTGAAAAGTCAGTCTCTGCCCTTGTCTTTCTTTTGTTTTCTGCTTGCGAATGCTTCTTCACTCCCACGCAAGGCAAGGGCACTCCTGGTCAAGGGCAATGGTGAGCCCTGGCTACAGAATCACAGAATCATTGTGGTTGGAAAAGATCTTCAACACCATCAAATCCAACCGTAAACCCATCCCCACCATGTCTGCGAGATCACATCCCTAAGAGCCTCATCTACACGTTTCTTGAGCACTGCCAGGGAAGGTGGTTTCACCACTTCCCTGGGCACCCTATTCCAGTGCTTCACCACTCTTTCCATGCAAAAATCTTTCCTAATATCTAACTTGAACCTTTCCTGGTGCAGAGGGAGGAAAGAAAATAAGATGTCTTCATTAGAGCGAAGCTCTAAATTCTCAAAAACATTAGCCAGGTGAACAGTACCTTCAAGGAATAAAACTCAAGAATTGCAGCAGATCTGTTTAATAGCAAGCCAGAGAAAGCAGAGCAAGGGAAAAGTATTTTGAATCCTGCGTAAGAAAAGCAGGGTGTAGGGGAAAGCATATGGAAGGGGGTGGAAAAGAATCACTGGTGATTTGAGACATGGAGAGGGAAAACATAGTTAAGGGACCTGCTATGTACACTGCTATATACTTGAAGTCTACAGAGCTCACGTATTTTCCCTTTTTAGGGGTGAAAGCATTTCCCTTCAGCAGTAATGATTAGACTGGCCTTTAGTGACTTCCTGAAAAGAGAAAGCTAAGTGATTTAGGAGTGGGAGGCAGACATACAAAAATCTAACGCATCTTAAAAAAAAAAAAAACTTGTCTGGAGATAAGCTAAAAGATTGCATTGTTTGTACATTTTTATCTCTAAATAGTCTAAGAATTTTAATCTATACAAGCCTATATATCTTGGGTTGACAAAGATTTGTTTGGGGATCCATTATAGCAAGCTTGTGTAGCATTTGTCCCCAGTTTAACACTTCARTAATGTACTTAACATTATTTTACCCTAGATAATTTCTAACCATTTGCTGTGAGGCATTATTGAAAATGAGATATGAATCTCTTTCTGAAAGGATCAAGTACCAAAGGAAAAGTAGAAGTGCCAGCATAGTTGAATCAACAGCCTTTCTTAATGTGTAACCAAGTGCTTGATACCCCACTACTCCCAGGGAATGTCATTCAAGCCAGATCTTACTGCTTTTTATCCCCTTTTATTGTTGATGCTAAGAATTAAGCCAAAAGCCTTAGCTGGTGTTGGTGTTTATATAATTACACTTTGCATATTTTTTATTTCCTTCCAGATCTTGGCTTCTGTTCTTTTATTATAACTGGCCCTACCAACGTGACAGTCCTTGCTGGTTCAGAAGCCCGGTTTAATTGCACTGTGTCGTCAAAATGGGTAATTGTCATCTGGTTGTCAAACGGAAATCCGGTCCTCACCGTGGTAAATCCTCAAGGACCTATAATAACCTCAGACCGCTTCACCTCCCAAAATTACACCAGCACGAGTGGGTTTACCTTGGAGCTGATCGTCCACGACACGCGGCTCAGTGACTCTGGTAGAATAGAGTGCAGCACCCAGCAAGGTAACGAGAGCAGCTCYGCATTCCTCTGGGTCCAAGGTGAGTATGGCTGCTGACAGAAAGCTGTTTTATTAGAGAGTGCTTAAAGAAGTCTTCTGATGGATTGCCCAAATTACCTCTGTGAAGGAGTACATGCTGCTATTTAACATGCTTTGTCTCCTCTCCTCCTTGGCTTAATTTTATTGTCACAGCTCATTTCAGAGTCACTCTTGGAGTGCCATTGAGAGGATTGAACTGTCTTTGTTTTTTTTTCCCCCATTGTGTCTCCTTATCCATTTCATGCAAGTGCCTTAAAGGCTATATCAGGCCTGCCAGCAGTCAGTCAGAAATGACTCTTTGGCTAGGGACAGTATGGACTACACCATGCAAAATATCTTTGCATTGATGTCTGCTCTTTTTACTGCGTATCTCCCTTCTGCTTTTTGATTTAGGAGTCCTAAAGCCAGCTTATCTGAGTTTGATTTAATGGAGTGTAAAGGTAAAGCCTCTGGCACACAAGGCAGTGCTCATCGTATGATTACAACTGTAAGCTGCCTTTTGCAAGGAACAGAAGGCTCCTATGCATGAAGCCCCAATATATGAAACTTCTCCCTCCTCAAGCATTTTTAGGGACAAGATGCAGCTAGTAAAGCAGCATCTGACCACCAGACACTATCCATTTGTCAAAGAGGTGATTTGTACAACAAGAACACCTYGCCATCTACTTGTAAGCATTTCCTGATAAACCCCAAGAGCGTGCTTAAAATTTACAGAGAAACACAGTAATTACATTATATCATCCTTCAGCTGGAAATATATTAATATGACTAAAACATATATATTATTGCTTTTTATTGAAAAGGCAGTGAAGACTGAGTCTAGTGTTTTAGAGATAATGGGCAATAACATGTCCTTGAAGCTGTAATATCTGCACTTTTATGTCATGCATATGCTACATCAGTGTTAATATCTGTTTTAAAATTCATATCTTAAGGCATAGCTAATTATGGGCAGCAAGGTAAGATTTAAAGTTCTCAGTAGGAAAGCAATGCATCCAAATATTCTGAAGGAACAAAATATCTTTTCCTTCTTACAGTTAATGGATCTTTATTCATCAAAAATAGCACCATTACAGTAAAAGAGAACAAAACAGTTGAAATTGTTTGCGAAGCCTTAGGATGGGCTCCAGCTCCAGACATTACCTGGATGACAAATGACACTTTCATAGATAAGTCGAGGTATGTTACCAAGCAAAGTCAAGGATCTAATGGCCTTCACAATGCCATGAGCATCTTAACTTTGACTCCAACGGACACTGAGATTGTGACTTGTTTAGCTGACATAGAAGCACTTCCTAGCCCTCAGAATGCAACTATAACTGTTTTTTTCCTCAACTCTACTGTAGGTAAGTGGATGTTTGTTGTACCTTGCCTCTGCTATTTTTTTTTCAGAATTATGCTTCTTTGTTTTATTTTGAAAAACAAAATTTTATTTTATTTGCAAACTAATTACTATGAGATGTGCAGAGGTGATAGAGTTAAGACTAGTTGTCACAACTTATAGGTAGGATTAAATTTACTACCATGAGAACACTGATACAAGTCCTATGAACCAGAAAGTCCTGCCTAGGGCTAATCTGAGCAATATGAATGAAGGAATGAAAGAATGAACGAAACAACAAATGAAGCAAGCGAAAGATCTGCCAGTGATTCCTACTATGGATTCATTGCTAACGATATTGGCCTTGGTTCCTTGTACAAGAAATCATCTAGTTTATTTAGATGTGAAACATCTGTGGTTATGGCATGTCCCTCATATGAAAATAAAATTCTAGACCTCATTTGCTGAAGACTAAACCCTCAGGTGAAACTGTGCTCTGTTATTTTCAACAGTGACTTTATCAGTGTTTCAGGTTCCGTTGAACGGGTTTACCAGTGAATTGAAAAAAACTCTTTGATTTCACACCCAATYTCTACACACAACCCAAAATAGACTCTTCACTAGCTCTCCAAATGCAAGTACAAAGTTCTCCACATGTGCACTGAACTTGGCACCCGAGTGGGATTGGGTACCATTCTAGTCATATGCTGTAACCCAAGACCCATGTAGATCCTGATATGGTCTCAGTCACAGCCTAGAAGAATATGGATGTATGCAATAACACAGGTGGAATTCTTTGTACATTATATTAGCTTGCCTTTCAGTATTTAAGGAAATTTAAGGTGGCTTTAATCCAAGCATGAATGTCAGATAAATCATTCAAAAACTATTGCTATTACCCTTGATCACCTTAAATAGTTTAGCTAATGCTGACAGTACTTTTTTTATTATTATTATTTTAATGCTGCTAATCTTTGGCCTCCTTGAAGATAACTGATCTGGGTGTTAAAGACTGAGGCAAAGGTGGCATTAAGGACCTCAGCCTTATCCTCATCCTTGGTGAAGATGTTTCCCACCGTGTCCAGTAAAGGATTCTCCTTGGCCCTCCTCTTCCTGTTAATGTATTTGTAGAAACATTTTTTGTTGTCTTTTACCGCACTGGTAGATTGAGTTCCATACAAGTTTTTGCCTTTCTAACTTACCCCTATATGGCCTAGAGACTTCCTTGTACTCTTCCTGAGTCATCTGCTCCTTCTTCCAAAGATGGTAAACTCTCTTTTTTTCCTGGAGTCTCAGCAATAGTTGCCTATTCAGCCAGGCCAGTCTTCTTCCCCTCTGRCTCGTCTTTTGACACATGAGGACAGCCTGCTCCTGTGCTTTTAAGATTATCTTTTTGAGAAAAGTGCAGCATTCTTGCATCCATTTGCTTTTCAGGACAAGAGACATTTCCAACCAATGTGCTAAAGAGTCCAAAGCCCACCCTCCAGAAGTTCTCTATTGCAGTTTTGCTGACACCCCTCCTGAGTTTACTGAGAATTGAAAACTTTCATTTCATGGTGTCTATTCCCAAGACACCCTCCAACCTCCACATCTCCCACCAGTCCCTCTCTGTTCACAAAAAGCAGATCCAGCYAGACTTCTCCCCTGGTAGGCTCACTTATTAGCTGTGATAGGAAGTTWTTTTCCATGCACTCCACGAACCTTCTAGATTGTTTCCAGTTGTATTGTATTTCCAACAAACATCTGGTCAGTTGAAGTCCCTCAGAAGAACAAGGCTGCCAATTGTGAGACTTCTAACTGCTTATAGAATGCCTCATCTGTCTCTTCATCCTGGTTCAGTGGTCTCTAGCAGACTCCCACCAGGATATCAGCCTTGTGGCCTTCCTCTGATCTTGACCCATAAACAGGGTCCTCTCTAGAGGTCCCTTGCAACCTTAAGGATTCYGTGATTCTGTATGGAAAATTCATAGGTTATATGGAAGATTTTACAGTGGCTCCCCAGGTATCTTCTGTACAGAGTAAGACCTTAAATCTACTCTACTCTTTTTTTTTTTTTTTTTTAAACTGATGAGCACTGACAATTTCAATAATCATGCTGACAGATTTTCTTGGTGAATTGACTCTTGTTTTGTAATGGGTACAATACACCATGTATGCAGACATTCTTATAGTAGATTGATGATCAGTACTGTATAGAAGTTTCTACACATAAACAACTGAAGAGGTTGAGCGATTGGGCCTCTTATTTTACATTTAAGTCATTATTACCAAGTCCTTTCAGAAGTACCGGCTTTGTAAAACAAGTGAAAARGTAATTTCATCATTTTTAAAATGACCTGTTTTTGTAGTCAGAATGCTCCTAATTACTGAGTAAGCAAAATAGAACTATCCTGAGGAAATTAATAAATTCCCTTGCCTACTCATTTGTGAGCTACAGAGGTATCCACCCTCAGTTTCCATAGCTACTCACTGTAAATCAGAAGAGGAGAAAAACAGATGTCATGAAGCACAATTAGTATATAATTAGTGATTGCATAGGACCATCATTCATTTCTCTTTGGAAAATTCATTATGCAGGAGCAGACACTCAAAATTTGAGACAGGATAGGAAAAAAGGAAATCTCTAAACTATGAGAATGAAATAAAGATRTGACATTTACAACAGAGAAAGATAGCTAATATATATCAAATCTTAAATCTCAGATTTTCTCTGACTTTTCATATACAGACCCACTCTTATCTAGATGTCAAGAATGAGGAAGACRAGTCTCAAAAAAAGAATCTTTCCCAAAGCTATAGCAATATTGATTTCAGCCCTCACCTAAAGGCTTGAGCAATCATGTCGTTCACTTCTCCACATTCCTCATGAGCAGTCCTTGTTCATTCAGAAGTATTGTCACAAAAAAACTTCAGGGCCTTCTTCCACAGCCACTGACAGGACAACATCACCTGGCAGGTGAATACTCGGCCTTCCTGCACATCTAGATCAGTCTTAATCTCAGGCATCTTCTTACAATTAATGAGGTGATGCATTTTCATGTATGTCATTCCTCTCTCCAGATATGCCTCTTTCACAATTCAGTTTGGCTGAGCCCCAGTTTTGGGAACTCCTCTGGAGCTGTCTCAACAGAAGCAGTCACAGAGATGTTACTGGGACATGAGGTCCTTTACARAGTCTTTCATATGGCTTCAATGTTGAATTCATGTGGCCTTTACACTGCAGGAGTGAAAGACATTAAAAGATTCCGTTGTCTTTGCTGTAATCTGCATTTTCACAGGAGGTGATTTCAGAATAACTCAATGTCTCACGGAAACTGGTTGCTATGAATAAATGGTTTTGCTAATAGCTGTCCCATGCACTGATTTTAGAAAACACCCTATATGCTTTATGCAGCTGGCTGCATAAATGTCAGTATTGACTGTCATGTCCTCCTGCCCATTGAATATTTATGTTTTTGACCCAATATTTCAGGAGCCCTTCTAACTTGGCTCCCCTTTGAAAAGCGGCCCCCAAATCACTGTGGCAATTTTGTAGAAAAAGCTTCCAACCTTAACTACAGGTGTAAGACGGATAGAAACTTGGCAATGCCCGTTCTGTCACTCTGCCATGCATGTCACATCCTCAGCGAGGTCTCAATTAAAAACTGTAAACAACATTTACCTGACAGGCCCGGGGAAAGGTAGAGCAGCAGCAAAGATGATTAGCAGCTTCACAGAGTCACAGCTATTCCCCTGATGTGTGACCCTGAGTAATGTCATGAAAACACCAGCAGTGAAGAGGATTTAATAGCTGCAACCCCCCAAACTGTACTCCTGTATATATTTTTTTCTCTTTACTGCTTTTTACAGTGGATAACAGATGACCTATGAAGTATATCCCAAAATCAAATATCCCCTGAAATCAGTGAGAAATCTCAGTATGAGGCTCATCAGATGACCACATCTCAGACAGAGATCTCCATCTGCCCTGCGGCTGTCACTGTGGCCAGTGGGGAGAAATGGACACTTCTTGAGAGCTGATCATCTTATCCACAGGGAGACCTACACATCTGGCCAAGTGATTTGTAATTCACAGCACCCGTTTTCTCTCCATGGACTAGAACAACTAGGCAAAATGCTTAATATTAGTATGGAGATAGCACAGTATAGGATAAACACATACAGGATAAACATCTATGCTGAGTCTTAACCTGTCTCCCCAGCCCCAAAAGTCTCTAAAGGATGCTGAGAGATTCAGAACATCAAAAATGAGGATTATGTAGGAAAATTACAGCTGTGTATTTTTCAGAAAGAGAAGTAACTAGGGGGAAAGCTAGAATTGCAGTTAGGATTTAGCATTTGGAAACCTTTTAAAATCTTGGGCACCATCCATCTCTACAGAAGCTTCTCGTTTGGAAGAGCACGACCTCCTTGTTAAGTAATAGCAAGCAGCTAAAAGCTTTTCACAGAAGAGGCAAATGTTCTGAAAAAAGATGTGTTTAGGTTCTGACAGTACAATGTTTCTCCATTTAATTTAACAGAAAGTGATTACAGTGAAGACAAAACAAGTACATGGATCATTGTACTTGCGGTTGTGTTCTCAATTATTGGTTTTATTCTTCTGATCTTTATTATTTGGGTTGTCGTACGCTGCTTCTGCCAAAAGAAGAAAGGTAAGTGGACCTTCATAGCTGCTCTGTGCATTAAAAATAAAATAAAATAAAATAAAATAAAATAAAATAAAATAAAATAAAATAAAATAAAATAAAATAAAATAAAATAAAATAAAATAAAATATAAAACAAAGCAAACATAAGTCTACTACTAAATCAGTGCTGGTGAGGTTCAAAACCTGTAAGTGAAAGAGTGAGCAGATAGATTATGCTGTTAGACCAATGATAGACCAACAACCTAAAAAAGCTTMTTTTTTTCACTTTGCTGTTTTTCATATAACTTGCTTTCAAAGTATGCAGTGGCCCAACAGGTTTGCCAGCGATATTAAGTACAAAGGGGGCATATTTTTCAGGAGCACCTTAATTTTCAGTGAGGCTTAGCTCCTCTGCTGCAGTTCTTTGTTGAAGCGTAACTTCAGTGCTGTATTTGTCAGATATTTTCCTAATTTCTGTGTATAAATGATCATAAAGGGATATCGCACAATTTTGTGAGCAGGGAGAAGAGATGCTCCTGCAGTAASTGCGACATAGAGGTTTAAAAGGAGATTCCTAATAGGGCATATTTAATTTTCCTGCATTTTAAGAAGATTTTTTTAAAATTTTTTTTTTTTATTTTTACAGGGTCCACTTATCAAAAGGAGATAAGGTAAGCTGAATAAGATGGAATATATATTTTTTTTCCGTTCAACCAGACTCTTCCAGTCAGCTTCCCCCACCTCGTCGTTGCTGGAGGGAAAGGCAGGGAGCCAAGGTCTGCAGCAAGCCCGGCCAGGGGACAAGCCGGCATTCCCTCCCTCGCTCCCCAGCCTGCTGGGCAAGGCAAATCTGGAAAACTCGGCTCTTCCTGGGGATTTCCTGGCGCGGGTGTTTGCAGCGGTGCCCACAGGGGGTCACTGTGAGACAGCGGCTGCCCCGGAGCGTCCCCCGGGCCGAGCAAACGAGCAAGTGCACAAAAAAAACCCAAGTGCAGCAACAACAATGAAAAAAAAGAGGAGAGGAGAGGAGAGGAGAGGAGAGGAGAGGAGAGGAGAGGAGAGGAGAGGAGAAAAAGAAAAAATATCAAAATGTCAAGTGAGCATCAGACTCTCTTGCAAGCAAAGCTATCTGTATATTGCTGCTGGCATGGATGTGTGAAAAAACAGGACTCTGCAGTCATCAGTATTAAGATCCTATTCATTATGTAGTGCTTGTGATGCTGTTTTCCTTAGTCTCTCTCTCTCTCTCTCTTTTAGGGAACATTGTAAATTCATACATGACTTAGGCTTATGGGGCATTTCACTTCTAAACTTAATGGGTGTGCACTCCCGTGCAGCACTTTGCCTCTCCCCAAGTAACATCTGGTAACATCTGGCTTCCTTGGTGGCCTCACGGGAGAACCTTCCATAAATGCTGCTGACACAGTTCCTTTTTGCCGTACTTTTTTGCATACAATGGAAAATAATTAAAGAAGACCTATTTTCTCTTGACGAGGACGTTAATTATACTGTGCCATATCAGTATAGCCCACCAGGTGATTTCTTATTTTGAGAGGTTGAATCAATCAGGCTACCAAGTGTAGCTATATCAATAGGCAGGTCTACCTGAAGGCATTTCAGAAAGGCCACTTGTACTCCTAGTGCTAAGCAAATGCTRAAGCCCTGTGACAAGCTCAGGCTCTAGGGTTTAGCTTGCATTCARGAACTCAGTGTTGAACTCAACTTTGACCATTCTGCCAAGTTTTAGCATGTATAAAAAATACTGCTGAAATCACAGATGTTATTTATGGTCACCTCCAGGTTTTACAGGTATAGTGCATTTTAGCTGTGGGGTGTAGTGAACCTATCTAAAGACAAAAGAAACAATGAAGGTTCCCTGGATTTCAGATGCCACGTTGTACTAAAGAAAGAACCTAGAGACAAAAGATGTAGTGTTTCACTCTGCACCACATTCATCTTTAACTTGTCTAACCTGCTCTTTGTGCCTCCTGCATGTTTCTGTAACTCCTTCAGGTTTGAGTATTATACTGAGATTGTTGAAATCTAAGAATCAGATTAAATAGACTGAACAGCATCATCTAAGATGCAGAGGTGGTACCCCTAAACAATTGGTCTTCTCTTTCAACAACTTCAACAGTTTTCATAGTGTCATTCAACATGTTTATTTCCTTAAAATAAGGAAATATAAAAATATAAAAAATAAATGCAGCAGTTTCCACAAACATTGCTAACCAAAAATATTTCATCATTCACCTACAAATCCCTGCACTGCCACAATCCTGCCATCAGTTTGTTCTTGCCACCCCAAAAACTTAGGTAAGGATAGAYCTGGGTCCATACCAGGAAGGAGTTTGTGGTAAGAACAGATGAATTAAAACATCTCTTGCAGCATAATAGTCATGAGTAACAAATACACTCTTTTCTACTGTCTAGCTATGCAGGTCACTTCTGCAAAGCCAGAGGATGTAACTTTACCCAAAGAAGTACTTTTAACCTCACCATGACTATGTTCACGTGTAAAGAAAATTCCAAAGTAAAAGATTAACTTCTGAGTATAAGGATAAATCGTTTGGGAGTGAACTGTTGTGGTGTGAGCTAATATGGTTTGTTTTTCAATTGGGTGAGTTAAAATCACAAAGATGATGGGTTGTTGCAGGAAACCTGTCTGCTGTTCCCTTAATGGGCCACATTACAGGACTATTACAGGACTATCCTGTAATTCAGAACCCAAGTTTAAAATTAATTTCCTGCAAAACCTACGATCTGGACCAGAAATTTCAAATCTTAGCAGATTCTCATTTTATTTTCCTGCTAGCTGATAGAGTAGATGATCRAAACGTTTGAAGCAGAACTGCATAGATAATATTTATACAGGACAGAATTTCAAACAGATAAATACTTGGAAAGCCCAGAACTAATGTGCATCTATTTCTTCAGGGGTAAGAAATATACCTTTTCTCTGTTGTTACTGAAGAGTTCTCCTATAATTAAGTTCTAATGATGGGTACWTTTATTTCTAGAAAATCTTCAGCTAAGAAGAAAAACAGTGGCCATTTGCAAAACAGCCAAAGAGATGGTGATGAAAATCGTGGATATATTCCAGAAGAACCAACATACACAGAACACATCCCAAGTAAGTCTAAGTCTGTGAATCGCCCAGCATTGAACTGCTTCTCAACACAAGTGTTACAGGCAGTATGTCAAGCAAATTAAATTACGCGATTTCCCAGTGCCTTGTAGTGGACTCATGCTCAGCCTGAACCTCTTCAGAATATTTTGGATCTTTTACAACATTGTCTTTCAAAATTACTGAGAAAACTTCAAAGCTCTTTGCAGTTGATTTTACTGTTAAGCTTTTTTTTTTGTTTCTTGTTTCTTTTTGTCTTTTTTTCTTTTTTAATGCCTTTGTTCTTCCAAATTCCCCCTAGGGACAGAGATGAGAGTACTGAATAGTAGATGAAGGGCTATTTAGTCCATTTTGCAGCTGGATTGGAAGAAAAAAAAAGCAAAAAGTCCACAGGAAACACAGGAGGAATCATACACGAACTTCTAATGAAGTTCTTTTACTTTGCTTAACTCCTGGGACTTGTGCTGCATCTCAAACTTCAGCTGCTTCAACTGAATCTGTGAAAGCTTCAAGCTCATCCATCTTTTTTTTGTTTGTTTGTGTTTGTGTATTTTATATATATATATATATTTTGCTATCGACATATCTATATTTTTGTGTTATAAATTGTTGTCTTGTTCATTCATGCAACATTATCATAAAAACCACTCCTTTTGGTAATGGTATTTCAGGATAGTATACGAGTATCTTCATACCATTCCAGACATTGCCTGCAGGCAATTATTTTGTTTCCTGTCTCAGAGATTAATTGCTTATTCCAGGGAAAGATATGGCCATTGATGTGAATTATTGAACCCAGGTGTTTTGCTGAATGTCATTGAGCATTGTCTCCAACAGTCATCCCAGAACATGACACCTAACTGAGAAAGGAGATCTTTGTGCACTACTTCCCTCCCTCTCCTTTCCTCTGCCTCCAATCCAAGCAATTCCATGAAAAACAGAAGCAATGAAGCCTGGATATCTAAGTCTCACCTGTTGTCATGAAACATTTTGAACGCATCAAACTTTCTGAAACTGTCCATCAAGTTCAAGTGTTACTGAAGTAGGAAGAGATGCACACCCACATTAAGCTTAAGCAGATGTTCTTCATTTCCTTGAGAAACTGGGCTTACATTTACAGCAATGACTTTTATGAATTCTGTTCAACTGGTGATGAACTGCATACTGACTACAAGCAGTGAAGGGGTAGAACATGCAAGTAATTAGAGGGGCAGGGGTTGGAAAAAGGCCCAATTTTTAAGCAGCTTATTTTTTTCCATGGGAGAACGTGGCTCAGCAACTGTCCTTTGCAGTACTTTTCTAGTCATCGCTGACTGCATTTTTAGAAATAAATTAGTGAGTCACGATTTTACTGATAAATTACTAGGACATTATAAATTCTAGTCCTTAAGCACAAGGCTTGTTCTATAGCAAATGTAAATTTCCAACAAATCTTGGCTCACCACTTGCATGTGTAACCACATTATTATCAAAACATTAAATCAAACACTTTATGGCATAAAATTATTGTGCAGAGTCTATAATAAAGGCATTCACCCCTTTCTCCCTAACAAATAAATCGTGATGAAATAAGTGCAGTGGAAGAATTTCAAGAACATGGGGTATTTGTAAAGCTTAATAGAGTTAAAGAAAACTAAAATAAACACGAATAAATTGGTTCTGCTGGTCCTAGATGGACTTTTTGCATATTCATTAGATACAACTAAGCTCAGAAGGCATTTCTAGCATTAAATTAAATTAAATTAAATTAAATTAAATTAAATTAAAGTTGCTTAATGGCTTGTGGTTCACATCATGGTGGACACTGAGTAAGGTTAACCTTGTATATTCTTGTTACAGGAATTGTCTCTCTTCCCCCAATGTCTTCCAAGTTTACTGTCCCTGATCCGGATTCACATGCCAGTTCTGCCTCAAAGGTAACGTGGAGATCTTGATATTTTTCACACACAGTGTCAAACTCAGTGTACGCTGTACTACACAGGTTTTAAACATAGATTTGGGGTGCTTGTAGAATTTAAAAAACAATTACAGGTCTCATTGGACAAGYGGAATGATCCTTTCAGCATTCCTAGCCCCTTGTAATTGTGGAGGTAGTAACGTGGAGGTGTAATGATTCTTGGCAGTTGCTATATAGAGGCCTTTGGCAGAATGGAGCTGCAACGTTTCTGCTGTTCTTCCCAGCTGCCGGAGGGGAGGAGATGTAGGAAGGATACGGAGGCACTGCTGAGCGGGGGGCTTGGGGTTCTTTGGCAACTGCAGAAATCCAGTGCACGTTTGCTGCAAATGCAGTCAACAAATGTGCATTTTCCCTGGGTCATTTCATGACTGTATCCCCAAATTGCACTTCTGCTTTATAGAAGTGCTTTTAGTCAGGATCTTCACAACTATCTTAGATACCTTTGGTATCTCAGCGGTAGATGACGGAAGGGAAAGCACAAAGATAACACCTACTCTAGAGTTTTCTCCCCTTTTCACATGACTAAAGCATAGAGAAGCAGACATTTAACATATCTTCCTCCTCAGCTTGCTCTGTTCTCAGCTACCTCCATTCTGAAGCGTGGTATTAGACATAGCTTCTAGCACAACAGCAATGTAGATCTAAATTTATAGCATATATATATTTGTTTTGGCATCTGTATGATGGTTTTTGCCAATATTCCCTTGGGAAAGCAGCAACAAAGTGACACAGACTTTTCCAGCTCAACACARCAATACCTCATTTATTTTTGAAGAGCTCTTTCAGTAAATACAGTGCAGAGACCTGCCTTCCGATGACACTGCATTTAAATCATTGCAGAGTGTGCCTAGTTCTTTTGGCACACAAAGAAATTTAGAAAATATTCAACCAACGTTTAAAATAATCAAAATAATAACTGTAAGAATAATAGCAACAGTAATGATGTAGGCTGGTAATTATTATGTTTGACAATAATTACTTGTTAAACACAGTAGTAATAATACAAAGGTGAAAAGCATGCAGAAAATAGCTGAGAGTTCAAGCATTCCTGCAATTATCAGGCAATGTGGTGTGTTACGATCAGCTCAGAGAAGCAAATCAGTGCGTGTTGATGACTGGACATCCATGTTGCACCCATTTCAAGGAGAGGAGATAGCTCCAGTTTGCTGTAGTCTCCTCCCTCACACCAGGTGCTCATTAGTGACTGRTGTGTGCTGGACATGCTCCTGCAGGGCCTTGTGCAGTTTGGTTTCAGCTGAAACAGATCCACAGATCCACTTTGGGGCAGTTGGCTCTGCGCTGTGAGAAGGGAGCATCAAGGGAATGGTTTCAAGAGCATCTCCTGGTTCAAGCTGAAACCCAAACACAGGCTCAGCCTTTTGTGTCAAACACTACGTTAGATGGCCTAGAAGGTCCCTTGCAGCCTGGTGGCTATGGAAATGGTGAAATCCATTGGAGGGACCACAGCAAACACTTCAACTATTTCTGTTAAATCACGTGTCTCTGGATAAGTCTAATAGAATGGCTTCTAGCTGCATTATTAACAATGTACACGTTTTTTTWAAATAGCAAGAGATAATGTACTACTGAAAATTGCTAATATTTTTTCCAACATGCTGGAGGAGAATTCAGCAATCTAAAAGTAAGGAGAAATTAGTCTCAACTGAAACAAGGCTTCTCAGTGTGATGTGGTGCCCCCATCTTGTATATACAGAAGCTGGTAAGGGAGCTGCTAATATAGCTTGAGAAAGATTTACTTTAATAAGTTGTGGATTTGCAGTCTGTGATGTAAGTTTGCAGGATAATATACAAACATAGTGAAAGACTTTCTAGACAAAAAAAAAAAAAAATGTTTCTCTTTTCTTACAGCTTTCTCCAGTAACTGCATAATGAAAGTTTCCTGACAAAGAGTTGTGTTACTGGGTGTAWTTTAATAAATTTTAGTCACTGCTGTTGCCAATAAGTTGCATAATAAACACTGTGGTRCTCTTTCGTGAAAATATATTTCTTGTCAAGTAGGAGAAACTAGATGGCAAGCCATTAACTGTTTGCTGAGGGGAAAGGGAGAGGAATCATCCAGAGATTTTTTTCTACAGTCAAGGAGACCTTAAAGGGGTGGACTTCAGCAAATTGCCTTTCTCTGCATGGATAAGCAGGGAAAATAAGCAAACATCTTCATAGACCTTATGTGGAGGCAGAGTGAAGGGAAGACCTTCACAGTGAGTGAGTGAACTAGTTCACTAGTGAAGTGACTAGTGAAGTGAGTCTTCCCTCAGCAGCATGGTGGGGAGGGAATGAGGTGCTCAGCTTCCTGAGCAGCAGTCTCTTCACCTCTGCAAGGTCCAAGAATTTAAGAGTTCTGTGCTTGGCTTCCCTGACAGCTTATGGGATCAACGAGAAGGATTAACTACAGCAACTTGTCAGAAGACTGGCCCAAAGGGAGCAATTTTTTAATGGGGAGCCTTAAAATTGGAACAGTCTCATGCATGTGGGGAGAGAATGGAAAGAAAGGCAATCAAAGTGAAYGAAGACTTTGCAACCTGGCATGTTGGTTGGACAGAGGTGAACATACCCACTGCACATTCCACCCCCAGGAGAAAGAGAGATGGAAAGTTTCAGCATCTAGAAGGTTAGCAAGCACAGGCTGCAGGTAGTAGGAAGTCTCTCTTGGGTCTCTGAGGGTATCACCTTCAAATTTGGTAAAAAGATACAATCTTAAATGATTTGAAATATTAAGGAAGTTTTTATATCAAAGATTTTGTTTCCTCAGAAGTCCTCACCCCTTGATCCAACTTGGTACAAAGACCTGCTGGGACTCATTGTAAAAGAGGACAATAGGAAACCACTTAGGTCAGCTATTCACCGTGGAACCTCACTGATTCACAAACTACTGCAAAACATTCACAGAAGATAAATGTTGCTCAGTAATTGCACCAATCAATCCATACCATGAACAAAAGATCTGGTAAATCACCCTAGGGAAAATTAATGCCTCAGCCACAATGGAAGGGGGAGAACAACAACAACAACAACAACAACAACAACAACAACAACAAAGAAGTACAAGACATTTAAAAAATGATGAATATTGAACTGAGTTATTGAGCTGAGGGAAAAATTACCAACCAGTGGAAAAGGAGGCCAGGAGCATCAGTCAGGGAATGCTGGAAGGTCTTCACTCTGATTACATTAGTCAAGAAAAGGTCACATAGAGAGTAGAGTTACAAGCTTCTGCTTAATTGCATATTTTGTTACCATCCGTGATGGCAGGGTAGCAATCCTTGCTGCTAGTCCCAGGATTGAACTGCAGGCCAAAGGGGTGTGAGGGATTCAGGTCCCATCCAGGGGCTGTTTCATACGCCCTGACCCGTTATGAGGAGCTTCTTCCAAACCCAAGTGCAGGGAGTTTGATCCTTCTCCTGACTCTGGCATATTTTGGGTCAGTCTCACATGCAGCTAAGCACAAGSAAAAGCCACAGGGCTAGCTCTGCCTGATCCTGAGGACTATCTGTGAGGAACTGCATTTTAATTTAAGTCCTGCTGGTACAAAAGCAGCTCTAAGTACTCAGAGTCCTGCGGGACTGGACAGTCTCCTACATAAGCCTAGTAATTAGCCCATTTAATAAGCCGTAAATGTCTCTATGATAAAGCAGACAATCATTCCTTAAAAGGGTATGATCATTTACAGTGGGCCAGATTCATCCCTGGTGTAATTCAGCTGATTTTAGCAGAGCTACACGAGGCTTGGATCTGCCACCACAGCCACACTCTTCCTCTTCAATCCAAAGTGAGTCATAGCTCTGCTAATGGGGACAGATCTATTTTTCTTCTTAACTACTCTAAATGACACTCTATAAACTGGAAATATTATTTAGTTGTGGTTGTGGTTTTATACTGGGGAGGAAATGAGTGATAAAATGTAGCTACATTTATTGCACTGTATACAACTGCACTGACTCTGTGGATTGTTTGAAAAGAAAAATTAAACTATCAAAATCAGATTAAAAGGCCAATAAAATAGAAATACAGACCAATGACAGCACATAATTTTACACTTACTAATGAAATGCACTATAGAGTATGTCATGTTATGATAGTCATTGGTCAGCAAATCTTCAATAAGAGTAATAAATATTGATGATATAGATGTAGAAAAGGCAGGTGCAGTTTGCAGACTGAAGTATCTTTTTTTCCAAGTATCTGGAAAAAGGTGAAGAATAAAGTTTTGTGGGTGGGATTAACCTCTCTGTCTGTGTCTCATGTGTATGTAAAGACAAGGAAATGCAAGTTTGTGTTTCTATTGATAGACAGGAACACATGCTGGATATTTTCAAAAGTTTATAGGTGGAAATGGTTTGCCATTAGAAGCAATGACACACTGTGAATGAGTTTGAGGGTACCCAGAGCTTTTGGGTGGGTGTTTTCCTCTCAATTAAATGAATTTGTAGTGAGAAGTTGAGAGAAGAATGGGGGAAAAATAACTTTGCAAAACATAATTCATCTGTGCCTCATTTTTTTTTTTTTTGTTATAACAGTTAGCAAAATGTGTGATGCCTGCAGACATATCTAGAAATACTCCTACATTAATTTCAGCAATTTGTTTTACTGCTGTTAGCCCTGGACTTTTTGGTTGAGTAATTGCAGGCAAAGCCTTCATCTTATTACACATTTCCATAGCCCCCTGTCTGAGGAGCTGCCATCTGTCAAATGAGTTTAAAGCCTGTTTCATAATGCCAGATGTGTGCTCATCATTCATATCACTGATGTCATATAGGATGGAAAAGTGACTACAACATTATCTTAATAGCAGAAGTCTSTCTTTTATTGACTGCAGATTAGTATCAAAAGCATCACAGAGGGATTGAATCCTGATAAACATATTATTTTACCTCCCAATTCATCTGTGCATTGCCAGTTCTTTTTTTGTAGGGCTGAAGAGATGAAAGAGATGGAGAAATTGGGCATTTTCCCCCAACCAAACCTAACAAGCYGTGCAAAGCTTTGGCCAGCGCAATAGTCCCTTTATACCAATCCATTTAAAACATCATCCAGGGCAGATGTAAGKCAACAGAAAGCTTTTGAAATATGTAACTTTAATATCTACAATTAGCTGAGAGTACAAAGAGACTTAAAGCTATGTAAGGAGATGCTGATGGTATTTCTTCATGACTGAGGGGATCATCATACAAATTTGCTCCGGTGGTGTTGAGCTCTACAAGAACCTTTACAACTGTCCGCTTTGTCTTCAGCTTGTAGGATGCAGCGAATAGTGAAGCCACTTTTTCAGATTAGGACTAAAAGGACTAGTAGAGAGCTGTATTAATCTGAAGAAGCAACTTTGATATCAAAAATAAGAAGAGGCTCTGGCAGCAGTAGCATATTATGATTTAAATATGAAATGGCTGTTGTGGTTCTGCTCCTCTGAGTTTTCTATTTGTAACAGTGAATCTGGGAACTTTGGTAGCATCAGAAGGTTAATTCCAGATCACTAAACTAGCAGCCAGCAGCCTTAATTTCGAAGTTAGATTCAGTTAACTGCAACCTCAGTGAGGTTCTGCTACTTCAGAGAAATCTCCACAGAAAATAGGCCAATACACAGCATGAGTTGATTGAAATTCATGAAATTATTCATTAATGGATATCAGAGCACAGTGAGGGTAAAATACAAGTAACCCAAGCAAATAACCATAAAAGATGTAGAGCCAAGGTGAACACAGTCCATTATGGGCCCAATCTGCACTCCAGGCCACTCATGGGACCAAGTGTTGCTCAGTTTCTCCTTTGTTTGTGAGGAGAAAGCACTGGGACTGGGATGGTTTCTTCTTGCAGAACAAGATTTTTAAGGGCAAACAAACTGTTCTGTCTTATAACCACCCCAGTACTGTCAGGTAGGGGAGAGTGATGAAATCCAGACCCAGCTGGTGTGAGAGTCTACCAGCTCCCTTTACTCAATCACTATCAAGTATTGACTACTAATGATCATAAACACTGMTTCTTACGTACTTTTTATTGGGAGCCTCTTCCTTCAGTAAATCTGTGTGCAGTACAATATTTTTGTGCAAAAAATATTTATATTTTTGTGCAAAAAAATATTTATGTATGTCAGGAAATTTCAGAGGGAGTGTTCAATGAAGTGCTCTTGAACTCACTCCAAAACTTTATGGTTACTCAGCAAGCTCTCCAGTTCAGCATGGTTTATGCTCTACGGACAGCCCAGAGTATTTGGGAACACAGATTTCTACTTGCCTTCAGCTTTTTCCAACATTTTTCCCCCCTTTATTTATTTGTTTGTAAATTTCTCATTTTTGGAAGAAGCAGGAGCAGCAAGTATCTTAAAACCTCTGCTGTAGTGAGAAAGCTTGATTTATATTTGAAGAATCACTAAATAAAAACAGTTGTTTCTCATTAATGGAGCAAATATCATCAGATCTTATTCTCCTGGGTAGCACAGACCAAAGGAAATGTCTCGTGCTCTACAAACCAACGAGTGGTAGGTACCTCTTTTGAGCACCAGCAAGGTCTTTGGGTTATTTCTGAACTGCAAGAAGCTAAGAGCAGCAGAGAGGTCTTGGAAAAAGCTTCTTGAGYAGAGACAGGCAATTTTGTTACTTCCCAGAGCACCCTCCTCTCTGCTGAAAGAAATGGTAAATAAGGGTAAATTTAGAAAACTGCAGTATGTTTTAGYAACAGAACAAGGAAAGAAAAAAGGAAGTATTTAAAACAGAAGGCAGCTGTCTTATGAAATGTTCCGAGGAGAGTTATATTTATCCCATGGTTTTCCTTGAGGTGCTGGAACTCACTAAATACCAGAGAATTATCGTCCACATGTGTCATCTAACATTTTCCTCTATGGCTTATTTAATAATGTATATTCAAGATGTTAAGATGATTTAAGATGTTAAGATGTATTATTTAAGATCTTAAATAGTGGAACAGTAGCAAGGCAATATGGACTGTACATGATTAATGTTTGAGAAACAAAATACAGCTATTGACCAATATTTTGGTCAATAGCTGGGAACCAAATCTTAGCTTGGGGTTGATAAAAATTTCCACTGGGAAGGATGGTGAGATTTCCATTAATATCAAAGGGGTTGAGACAGGTGGGGAAGTTGTTAGGAACACAGTAGCTAGCAGGAAGCCTCTAAATGGAGGAAGACAAAAATCAGCTTTTGGGCCATCCACAGCAAGCGATTTGACACTAGTGTCTCATTCAGGAAGCTATGTAAAGACATGGGATTACAGCTTTGGAAGTAATTTTCATTCTGTAGAGCTACTTTGAAATTACCTACATGAAGTCTTACTACCTGTTTTAAATATCCAGAGTATATGTTTCTGGGATGCATCTGAAAACATTTTTTTCCTTGCTCTTTCCTCTGCAATTATCCTTTGTAAAAATGCATAAGTAATTAGGATTGGAAATCCATTGCATTGAATGCGAATAAGAGTAAGGTTTTAAACCTGCTGGGCATTTTCCCTAATCTGATCTCACTGAGGTCAGCTTTAAAATCCTCTTTGGTGTGGGTTCAAGTCGGATCATGCTAATCATGGTAACTTAAAAAAAAARAAAGGTCTGCTTTAAATAAACATTGAGATTTTGAAAACTCCCTTTGAGATATTTGGAGTATTGGCACGCTTTTTGTTGATGTTCTTAGTAAATTCAGAAGGCAACATCAGGTGGTTAGTTTTTCTTATAACGTATCAGGCAGGGTATTTTTTTAAGAAAACAAAAGAAGGAAAATCCAACATTGTTTTTTACTTAAAGGAATACTGACTGTGGAGCATGCAAGCAGTGCTCAGATAGCATATGACCAATTAATGAATTCCCATAATTRCCATTATTGTGTTGCATGTGAAGCTTATATAAGTATTTTCTTTTTCTTTTYTTCTTTTTTTTTTTCTGTTCCTCTTTGTATATGGATTTTGAGTGGGTTGCTAATGATAGAATTAATTTTCGTGTAATGCTTTAAGGTGAGGGTTTGACAGGTAACCTCCTGAGGTCCCTGGCAGCCCTACTTTCCTAGGATTCTTTTTTTTTTTGCAGTTCTGTAACTCCTTTTTTTCTCCTCTAGGTGCGACCTCAAAGACGAACTGATTATCCGATCAGCCCAAAGAAAATTAGAAACGTGACACATGTTTAGGACGTACTTTTCCAGGAAAGTTCTCTGCCAGCTGCGTGTCACACGTGTGGATGACTTCCAGCAGTGAAGAAAGATTATCACTAGTTCTGTCATCTTAAGCTACAGATTATTTTTTATTTTTTCAATAATGGAACACAGTTGCAACCCTCACCATGTTCTTTCAATAATGGAACACAGTTGCAACCCTCACCATGTATCATACATATATCAGCAAAATAATGGACATGAATGGCAACCTTAAATTCAAGGACAATAAAATTCATGAGACTCCAGAAAAAAGGGGAGTCGTGCTTTGGGTCCCAAGGAAACGAGCAGAACTCCTTACTGGGCAGACCTCTTTGGTTATCTACAGCAAGGTCCAGGACTGACATCGGTGGAGATTTATTAGCTTGGAAAAGTAGTTTAATAATAATACTGGTTAATGCAATACCTGCTGTGTTTTTAAAATTTGCTTTATGTTGATTTTGTAAATCAAGCACACTTTTCAATTTCTGTTCTGTAATAAAATCAAGGGAAATTTTCATCAGAATCCTTTCAGAATTTCTAACAAAACAATCTGGATTAGAAATACGTTCTTTTCATTTCAACAGATTCTTTGTTAAAGCATTTTTTTTWAAAAAAAGCAATGTTCCAGTATTAAGTAAGAAGTCACCCATACGCCAGAAAGACCTGTTTTGATTGAAAAGCAAAAATCTTAAGCCTGAAAAAACRTGGACTCGAAGCTCCTGACTTGTGAGCCTTGGTGCTGGAAAGCTTTACCCCTCTGTCCTACCTGAGGGCTGGGTTTGTCAGCTAAGAAGTGGTGCGTGTCCCAGCGCAGGGCGCCCGGTGCTGCGCCCTGCTTGCCGAGGACAGAGTCGACAGTGACTGTGGCAGACACAGCCTGGCTACTTAACCCGGCCAGTGGAGCAGATCTGGCGTGTGGGAGCCCATATGTGCCTTCCTAAACTGAAAATAAAGACTTCTAGCAGAAATGTTGTAGCTAAAATCTTGTACTCCACATAAAAAAAAAATCTCTGCTTATTAATTTTTTACACAAAGGCGAAGTTCCTTCACAGAAGAGGCCGTTTTCCAGTATGCTCTCCTTCCCAGCCACTCCAAGCATTCTGAATTATCCAGTGCTTTGCACATTAATCTTTCATATGAAGCCACGCATGTGCTGTTTGAGCGATGAAGGAAGTAGAAACAGAATTATTTTTTCAGTGGCATTCTGTGCAAAGAAAACAAGAAATCTAAACCGTGATCTCAGGAAGATATTTTGCATGTTCATTTTTGGGGATCTCATTAAATAGTGACAGATTTTGCACTATTGGTCACATTTTTACTTTGTCAGTCTATCAGAGCAAGAGCTGAAAACAATTCCTGTCCTGTCCTGTCATGTGCAATTGTTTCAAATTCTGGTAATCTCCACTCTTCTCTGTCTTGTCTGGTTAAAACAGAGTTTGAAATGCATTGCCTCGAACAACATGGTATGTAAATAACAGTAATGTTATGCAGAGAAAATACAAATAATTTATACTGTGCAATACCTGTGTTGTTTCTTTGAAGTAACCAGGCACTGAAACATCAACCAACCCAAAGAATACCAATCAAAAGTTCTGGTGTAAGCATTGATACTGCCAACATCTTTTAGTTTCTATCATAGCTCAGTGAAAATATAATGTCAAACCAAAACAAAATCCATTTTATGAGAGGAATGCCCATTTTGCAGTAGAGTCACACTAGGCTGTTTGCTTGGTATGAAATCCATTGGCATAAAATCCATTGGCCTTGGCTTTTCTGTCCCCATGCAAAGTTAGCAAGCTTGCTTTGGTCCGAAAAGCAACCCTGTGGTACCGAAATGCAGTCTGCATCGAGGTAGTTGTTGCCTGGTAGAAAATGCTTTGTAAAGAGATCAAGCTATTCCATATGGTCCTTGCTTGCAAGCTTAACTTGGGTATTACTTGTATCATGCCAGAGAAAACATTTTGTCCAATAAATTAAAAAATGCTGTTTTGAAGATGAGGGCAAGAGGCTAGCTGCTCTAAAGCAAAATAATTACCTAGCTGTTAATGCTATGGTGCCTCCTGTGATAGGGAGGCCTTATTTCCAGTTATGCACTGTGATACCTGCTGCTTGGGGCTCCTCTGAGGACAGCGTCCGTGTTTCCAAACTGAGGACAGCGTCCGTGCTTCCCAAACTGCTTTTTACCCCACTGAATGCACATCCCACTGCCTCGAGTGAATGAAGGCTTTCTGCACAGAGACGAACCACAGCCATGGAAACGTGCATGTTAACCAGAGTCTGGAGCTATTTTCCTTCCTGCCAGCTGCAAGAAGGCATCCCACACAGCTATGGTATATTCTTAACAGAAGTGGCATGAAGTTAAGAAATGCCTACAGAGTTCCTGAAATTTATAGTTGGGGACGCTCCGATGCTTCCAGATTTGTTTTCTTCAGGCATGTTATACAGCCTGTATATCATCTCCAGTACTAACATTTAACTCTGTTTGCAAATAGAGCTCTGCAAACAATAATACATAAAGTACAGAGATAATTTTTAGCACTTGGGGAATATAAAATATGCAGGCACTTTCAGAAGACAAAGTAGAGTGAAAAATATTGAATTTCAAGCACTTTATGGAGATACCAATCTTTTGTACCCATGCATGCTGATTTATAATTATGACTTGAGAGACATTTTASTCATCAAGAAGTATTTAGTTCTCTTACTGCTCACAGACTGTGCTAAGTTGCATAATATAAAACYCTTCCATGTTTCTTTACAAAATGTTCTGGTATGAATTCCATACATGAACGTCTGGAAAARAAAACCACAAATAGCCAGTGTTTCACTCTACAGTAATGTTTCCTTAATTTGTCCTGTTAGTTTTATATCTCACAGAAATTTCAGGCTACTTAAAGACAAAGGCACTTAAAGATAATGCTGTAATCATGTAGAACTTYCCTTTTACAATAGAAAAGCACCTCAAGTCTGTGTGGGCTGAGCAGAATCAACGGATGCACTGTTAGTGAAGGGTGCTCACGGTGGACTAAACATTCTTGCTGATCTGCTTGAACTAAGCCTCCATTTTCAAATATTTATTTCAGAGAAAAATATTTTAGGTGGCTAACCTAAAATACACCATTTCGAACCAGGTATTTCTGCTTCCCATGGCCAGAGATGGGGAGTCTTTGGTCACCAGCCAACCAGCCTCATTCCATTTCAGTCCTCAAAAGGATCCTATATGAGACACAAAGGTAAGACCTTGACAGCCCAAAATGGGGCCCAACTATTTCTCTCCAAATTTATCTACATCCTACCCCTGCATTTCTAGAAATACAATTAAATTCACCCAGTGCCCTCATGGTAAATGTGTGAGTGAAATTAAACAATGATTTTGTACCAAAATGATCTCCTATGGGCAAGCAGAAAATCCTGCACAGAAAATCCTGCAGCTGCAAAACAGGGAACACGTCTCACAAAGTACCATTGTCTTCCTTTTCAAAATAACCTCCAAAACCACCTGCTAGAGATGAGGTTGAGAGCTGAAAGTCATAAAGTCACTTGATATGAAGAAGCACGCACTCGCTAGATGTGACTTTTATGATTAGACTCTCCTCCTACTCACCACAAACTGTTCTCCAGGCTATAAACTACCTGCCTCTTTTTTTTTTTCCTCCCTAGGTGATAAGTAGCTTAGTTTAACTCTGTTTCTCACTTGCCTTCCTCTTTATCACCCCTTCTTCTCCAAAGCTACCAAATACCTTTTTTTTTTTTTCATAAAGGATTAATTAATACATATTTAATTAATCTCTGAGCATTGGTTCTCAGCTTGTATTTAGCTTTGAAGACTGCTGCTTCTATTTAAGACCTGAAGAAGGGTTTGCATGCCTGAAATCTTGTTTTATTTTTTCCAGCCACACCACTTGATCCAGTCAAAATTACTATCTGTACCTGTGCCTATGCACACACTCTGACGCCTGTATATTTTGATTATCTCACCTCATGGGACTTCAGGAGGACATGGTGCAAATTTAATATGGATTTTCTGAATTGTCATAGGGAAAAAGTGGAGATGTAAAGAAGGTGGTGATTGCCATTGTAATAGCAAAAGACAGTCAATTACTCAGCCTCTTCCTGTCTCCAAGCCCAAGATATTTGAATATAACCAGTCAGAGAGAGAACAAGTTCATATTAACTTCATTTGGAAGTGAAGCTTGTCAATAAAAAGAAAATTAAACAAAATGTTATTTGTAGAGCCAGGACAAAAACAAGCAACATCAGATCCCCCCATGACCACATCAAATCACTTCAGCTAATGAATAAAATGACCTGTCTGATTCTAAAAATGGTCTTTTATATCACTATCACACTGTCATAGTCTGTCTGAGAAGTGTGTACAGTTTCTGTCCTTTTGCTATAGAGAACTCAGTTTTCTCCTTTCCTTTCCTTTCCTTTCCTTTCC